TACACTAGGACAAAACATTCAATCTCTTTTGTATTTGTTTGTTGTGCAATATTTGATTTGAACACCTTTCCTCAATTTGTACAAATATGAGGATAACAGTCAGTTTCAAGCTAAATAAATGCACTTTAACTCCAAAAACTCCTGCCTGTTATAGGCCATCAATATACGTGGCAATTTGCTCTTTTGAACAAGAGTATACAATATAAACATGCAGTTTCACCAGAATAATCAATTCAAGACACTTATTTCGATAATATATCCATCATTTACATGAAATCTACAGGTAAGTCAGGCCTGGGCTTACACAGTACTTTCAGGTGGTGAAACACTACCCGTTTCCCAAGCACCAAGGACCCCACCCATGAGTGACGCTGGATCCTGAGCCTCAAAAGCTATCCTGATCAGTATGCAGAGAGAAAGAGGAGAGGGCCTACTCTCGCCGAAGCCGGACTTCCTTCAAAGAAAGCTTGCGTCTGCTCTCCATTCCCCCGCCTAGAGGGCGATGGAAGATCTGTTCAAATTGGACCCACCCTTCAGTGCGTGCCCAACAAAATTACCGCTGTGATAGCGGACCCACATACTCAAAAGAGCATTTCTCCTCTTCTCATTACCACAAATGTCCATTGCCCGCCCCCGTGCGGCGACCTGTCAATCAAGAAACTCAGGCTTGGTAAGCCATCCCGGATGTGTCAAGCTGGGTTATAAAAACCATAGAACGAGGTTACTCGCTCTAGTTCGCTCGCAGGTCACCTCGCTTCAGAGGTATTTTTCAAATTTCGGTACAGGACAACAATGCTCACGTTCTCCAGTCCGAAGTGCAAACTTTGGTTGCAAAAGGATCTGTGGAGATGGTTCCTCCATCGAACAGTGAGTCAGGCTTTTACAGCTGCTACTTCATTGTTCCCAAGAGAGATGGCGGGCTCAGGCCCATTCTTGATCTCAGGCATCTGAACCACACACTTTTGAAACAACCGTTCAAAATGGCATGCTGAGTTTGTATGCGATCTCTCACTTTATTTTAATCGCTGGTGTGTAGCTTCTGATGTAAAAACATTGGACGATTTAAAAGTTAATGGTGCTTGAACAATTTAAAAACTGTTTCAGATCGTGTAGCAACTTATGTAAGTGAATGTAAGCCAGTCACTGCATATGAGGCAGCTGTTATGCTGATGACTTCTTTCTGATTCATAAGACTTCTTTTGGTTCTAAAACATATGGAGAAAATCTTTAAAAAGAACCCTGCCGTAAATCTGTTCACTCTGCCAAATTGTCACATGATCCACTTGGCGGACAATATGGCTCTGGTGGGGAAAAAGAGAGAGCAAATACGTGTAATTATTGTCATGTGTTTGGTCATTGGAAGAACGAATGTCCATTGTTAAAAACAAAAGACATGTTGAAAGTGAAGTCTAAGAATTTTTTCCCCCCTGCAAAACCTGTTGCTTTGACCATAAATGCCCAGACATCACATGATGGTCTGAAAAGTTGCACGTCTGTTTTGTCAGCGTTTACTCCCTTTGTTACTGAAGGTACTGTCAAATTGGTTAATTCTGTAAAGGATGTACCTGTTAAAATCCTTCGGGATACAGGATCATCAGAAACCTTTGTTTTGGAGTCTGTTTTACCTTTTTCCACTGATTCCTATACTGGAAGTAACGTGCTGATTAAGGGCATTGGTTTAAATATTATGTCTGTTCCGCTTCACAAACTTGTTTTGCAGTCTGATTTGATCCAGGGAGAAGTGGAAGTTGCTGTACGTTCCGGTTTGCCTGTGGAAGGAGTACAGGTAATCTTAGGAAATGACTTGGCTGGTGAATGAGTTTGGCGAGGTGATTTACCACAATTAGTGGTTACATCCTCTCCGATTGTCTTTAAATCAGACAGTGATAAACTCTTCAATAGATAAATGCATTTCCGTCATGTGTGATAACTCGATCTATGAATAAAACACCCGTTGATAAGCCTGATTCTAAAAAAAAAAAGGGGGGAGAAACTCTAGAAATTCCGTCCGTTTTGTCTGTCACGAGATGATTTGATAAGGGAACAAAAAGCTGATTCTACTCTTGTTGAGTTGTTTGGTCGAATGGTCCCTTATGACACAATTTACAATCTTTCTTCTGGATATTACCTGGAGGAAGGGTTGTTGGTTCGAAAGTGGGTTCCGCATGGAGAGTTTGCAATTGGTGATCCTGTTGTACAGATTGTAATACCACTGTCTCTCCGTCAACTTGTGTTACAGACCGCACATAATACATCTGGCCATATGGGGGTGAAAAAGACGTACAAGTTACTCCTGAAACATTTCTTTTGGCCAAAATTGAAGCGTGACGTGTCTAAGTACATTAAATCCTGTCATACCTGTCAACTTGCGGGAAAGCCAAATCAGTCTCTGAAACCTGCTCCTCTTTATCCTATTCCAGCTATTAGCCAACCATTTGAGCATCTTATTGTGGACTGTGTTGGGCCGTTGCCCCGGTCAAAAGCAGGTAATGAGTATTTGCTCACAGTCATGTGCCAGGTAACTAGATATCCAGCTGCATACCCATTACGTTCAGTAACGGCGAAGTTGTAAAAGCACTAACTCAGTTTATTTCTGTATTTGGAATACCAAAGATTATCCAGTCTGACCAGGGGAGTAATTTTACTTCTAATTTGTTTGATCAAGTATTGAAACAACTTCACATCCAACATAACCTCTCCAGTGCTTATCATGCTCAGAGTCAGGGAGCACTGGAGAGGTTTCATCAAACGTTAAAATCTTTACTGAGATGGGGAAGGATTGGGATGTTGGGTTACCTTGGTTGTTGATGGCAGCTCGGGAAGCTGCACAGGAGAGTACCGGGTTTAGTCCAAATTATCTTGTTTTAGGACATGATGTGCGAGGCCCGTTATCTGTTTTGACTGTTGACTGGGAAAAGTCAGATCCACCAAAAAAATCTCCTATCATATGTTAGTGATTTTCGCCATCGAATCTTTTCGAAGGCTTGTCAGTTGGCAAAATTATCTCTGTGTAAAGCTCAGGATCGAATGAAACAACTTTTTGATCGACGCACAGTTGCGGTCTTTTCAATCAGGTGACCAAGTGCTGGCCTTGTTGCCTGTTGTTGGATCACCGTTTCAGGCAAAATTTGTGGGTCCGTATACGGTTGCTCGTCAGATTTCTGATCTTAATTATTTGATCAATACGCCAGATTGAAGGAACTTAGAGTGTGTCACGTAAATTTGTTAAAGCCTTATTATGCTTCACATGTCATTGACCCTGTAACAACTGATCTAGGTAATTTGTCTGATTCGTGTATTAAACCTGTTCTTACAGATTCTGGTACTAATAATGATACCATTGATTTAGTGCCTGTTACGGTAAGTGAGGAGAAAGATGAAATCTATCCTGGAGATTCTGTTCTTCAGGCTCGGTTACAAAATTCTGAAGCATTGAGTTCTTTGGACGACCAGCTTAACCATCTATCGGATGCACAGTGTATTGACCTGATTAATTTAATTTCTGAGTACGTCTCAGTTTCCTGATGCTCCTACTTGTACAAATCTAATAGAGCACGACATTGATGTGGGAGATTCAGTTCCTATTCGTCAGCATTATTATCGTGTGTCTGTGAATAAGAAAAAACATCTGGACGATGAAATTGAGTATATGTTGAAAAATAACTTTGCTGAACCTTCTTTTTCTAGTTGGGCTTCTCCGTCTTTGTTGGTGAGTAAACCGAATGGGGCCGTTTTACTGCAGAGGTCCGAGGATGGCATTAATCACTCAATCGGGTTCTTCTCTAGAAAGTTTAAGTACCAACTTAATTATTCTGTGATAGAGAAGGAGGCTCTCGCTTTAATTTGGGCTTTACAGCACTTCGAGCATGTGGGATCATCAGAGGGACCTCTAGTGGTCTACACAGATCACAATCCTTGAATTTTTCTGCACTCTTTACAAAACCCCAACCAAAGGCTAATGAGATGGTGTGTTTTTACAGGGTTACCTGTTGGATATACGCCATATTAAAGGCTCAGAAAATGTAATCGCTGATGTCTTGTCTCGTATTCACATAGTCTAAGTGTTGTAGAACTCATATTTTCTCTCTTTTCCCTTCCTTAATTTTGCTTCCTAGGTGCCAAGGTTGCTGGAAGGAGTTGAAGAGTTGAAAATGCTGAGGAACATTTCCTAGCTGAATCGAATCTGCCACTTGGACTGTTTGGATTTTGGTAGAGGTGATTTTATTTATTTATTTTAATTTATTAAAAGTTTTTTTTGCGCTCTTCTTTTTTTTTGGGGGGGGGGAGTGTGATGAGTCTCCTGCTATGGCTGGTCAGTGGGTGTGTCTAGGAGACTCATCAGGAGAACGATGTCCACCTGTTCTTCCTGCTATGAGTCGTGGCTTTGTTGGTGTGAGGGTGGCCTGGTTTGCTCCTGGTTGCTTTGTGTTGGAATGTTTATTTGGATTTTGTTATGAGTTGTGAGACTTGTTCTGTCTGACCTTATAACATCTGTGTCAAACAGAAATGGCAGTTATTTTCCTTTCTTTTGTTAATAAATTTATTGCAACCTTACCAACCACATGTCCTCCTTTCATTTGTTACAGCTTTGAGCCGGTCGTGACAGCTGTTTTCGGGGAGGCAGAGGTAGACCTCTTCACATCAGAAGACAACGTTCACTGCCCAATTAATTTTTTGAAGCAGCGAGATGCCCTGGCCCACGAATGGCCCAGCACTCACTTGTATGCCCCCCCCCCAGTTGCCCTGCTTCCTCAGGTCATCATACGGGTCAAGGACCATCAGTTAGCAAAAACAACCTTGTTGTTGAGGGGAGCTCGGAGACTGAATTCACCTTGTCCTCATACTGTGCCGAACAGGGACTTATCTGTAGTCCTTTGAGCCGCTCCAGGCAGCCGATTTGTGGCACCTGTCGCTCAAGACCGCCCTCCTTTTGGCATTAGTGTTGGTCAAGCGAGTATGTGACCTAACAACTGTAAAGTCATCCTCAAACCAAGATACGACTATGTGCCTAAGGTGCTCTCAACCCCGTTCAGAGCATAGGTCATTACCCTTCTCGTGCTATAAGGCTGCACATACTGTTTGACCTCTGTCATTGCCAACAAAGGATATATAACAAAGTATTGAGATGAAATTTTGTTATTGACCAAATACTTATTTTCCACCATAATTTGCAAATAAATTCTTTAAAAATCCTACAATGTGATTTTCTGGATTTTTTTTCTCATTTTGTCTCTCATAGTTGAGGTATACCTATGATGAAAATTACTGGCCTCTCTCATCTTTTTAAGTGGGAGAACTTGCACAATTGGTGGCTGACTAAATACTTTTTTTCCCCACTGTAAGTCGATGGCTGATGAATGGTGCTCTGAGCCGACTTATATAGTGGTCGGCTCCTCCCCTTTTGGTGGGTTGAAGCACCATATGTTCGTGCAGTTACACGAACATGAACAAATCAGGATTCAGTATCAAAGTAAACAGGAGTTTCCTCCATATGCGTTCAATGCAACACTCATTCCCTTATTAACCGGAGTGTTATTTCAATTACATGAAATGTCTCATTAGATTTTGAGTTTCTCACAGTATAGAATAAGGGAACTTACTGTTAACAGGTTTTCACTGTTAAAATTACAATGTGTATAACGATACAAGAGGCCTGAAACCAGCACAACTATGTAAGAAATAGAATGCTTGGGACAAAAGCCAGCTCTCTAGTTTAGCGGTCATTTTACAAAAACATTTTTCTGCAGAATGCAGTGATCGACTAGTCAGAATGGAGTATTCTAGATAGCCGTGTAATGAATTATGAGAGCATATGTTGGGGTGACTCCTGACTGAAGGTGTTATTCTTGGATTCATTTGCTAGACGGGACCGTATTATTCCCCATTTCAGAACACACTCTCACATTAAACCGCATTAATTTACAGCATGTTGTTGGGAATAAACTGTCAGCTGGAGCGCCAATGTTTCAACCTGATACTTACTGATACAGCCATCTGTGACCACCTTATTTCCGTCATCACACTCCTCTCTGTTCTCAACTTGCACGATGCTGTCTCCACAGAAACCCTCCTGGTCAGGATCACGCTCCATCGACTGGAACGGTATTAACTGCAATCAAAGAGTCTTTTACAGAGCGTAGAAACTAAATTCACTATATGTGTAAAACTATAAAGGAATAAGATGTCTGTCAAAAACAGTCTGTAACGACTGTAATTGGGTGTTTGACATGAAATTCTTTTGGGAAGTTGACCTGTTAACATGCTACAATTAATATTTTATTTTATTTTTTGCTAATGCATTTATAATGACTATATATATACCATTGTATGATGCTATTTGACAAGGCACATGGAATATTTGCAATTTAAAAAAACTAATTTGTCATAACTGGGCTATTACAATTATGAAATTAAAAACTACAGGTGAATAGGGTAAAAACTTTTATTATTATTAATTTTATAATATAATTAAAACTATTAACTATTAGATATCACTATACTATCTCCCTGGGATTAATCACAGTACATTAAGGCAGTTGTTTTGTATTACAAATTTTCTGAAATGTTATGTTTAAAGGGGTCATATGATGTTGCTAAAAATAACATTATTTTGTGTATTTGGTGTAATGAAATGTGTTTGTGGTTTAACGTTGAAAAAACACATTATTTTCCACATACTGTACATTATTGTTTCTCCTCTATGCCCCGCCTTTCTGAAACGCGTTGATTTTTACAAAGCTCATTGGTCTGAAAAGCGAGGTGTGCTCTGATTGGCCAGCTATCCAGTACGTTGTGATTGGCCGAATACCTCAAGGGTGTGACGGAAATGTTACGGCCCTTACCATATTGTGATGCCCTGTCCGGCCGGAGCGACGAGAAAAAACATTAATACTCATTATAAACGAGGCCTTTGTTGCATCCAGTGGGGACATAATTACAGATTATAATGACTTATACTGTCTTTTTACGTGTTGCGTTGCATTGCGCCGTGTAAACATAAAACCATGTCTGCATTTGTGATTGGAGAAATGACAAACAACAAGTGCTACTCTACATTGCTCAAAACTTGTGTTTGAAACGTCAGTGGCAAAGTCTTTAAATATAAAAAACGTACTTACAGTCTGAGTCAGAACAGCCGGCATTGTAGTCTACTCTACCAGGATCAGGAAACAGTCCTCCATAAAATGCGCTGCACACATCTGAATATTTGGGTTGAACTGTTCTGGAACAGTGTAAATACAACTTAACCACTGATTTCTAGTCGTGTCCTCTTTTGGAAGGCCAAACAAAGTAGTTTCGCTTTCACAACGAAACACACGGCGGGCTAGAGTGAGCGGGTGGTGGGCGGGCTTGAGAACGGCGTGGCCGGCGGATTCGACGAAGGAGCGTTCGGCGGGCTTGCGGCAACCACATATGACGACCCCGGGCTGGACTCCGCTTCGTCCACGGCGCGAAGTTGATGTATTTCCTCAGCAACCAGCACGGCTCAAGTCCAGGCTTGACGAACCGGATATCGTCCTCTTTTGGAAGGCCAAACAAAGTAGTTTCGCTTTCACAACGAAACACACAGCGCCTTCACGACATGGCGGTGGTGGCAACAACAATACTACAGCGAGAATAAAAGTTACGCCTTCTTTCTTTGCTTGAACATTTGGGCGGCGTTATGCAAATCTTCCCACATCGTGACGTAGACATGTGGGGGCGTGTTAGAACGAGCCGTTTTAGGTAGGCGTGGTTGACTCTTAATTTTGATAAAGAATATCTCTTTGGATTTGAAACTTTAGTCTTTGTAACTTACAGATCTTCTTTATGCACTAAGAGCTTGTAACACTCCAAAGAGAAAGGAAAAATTGAAATAGCATCATATGACCCCTTTAAATAGGCAAATGAGGCACTACCTAATTGAATATACACGCATTTGCATAAATTTACAGTACAAAAATCTGAACAGTGGATAATTGTTTTTTTCTACAAAGGGGATTTTGGATATCACTCCATAAATCAGAATATACTGTCAACAGGCAGAAAAAAATTTAATGAATATTCAACAAATCTCCAATTTTCAGTAAAATGTTATAAATCAGGTAAATTATATATGAACAAACCCCTCTGCATAAAACCTTCAGAATATAGATAGGAATAAAACTGTAAAGTTGTAAGTATGTAAGTGAAACTGAAATTGATTTCTAGTTCAGTGCAGGAGGGGAAAAAAACCTAATTGAGAAAGCTATATTTTTTAAATATCATATCAAATATAATTTTTAAAAATTGCATTTAATTATTTGAATTTACTTGATTCATTTTTGTTCTACATTTTCCAATTAATTTCTCCAAAGGTACGACACTTTCTTAGAGACCACAAGAGATTTGAGAACTGATTGCACTTGTATGTAAATATAATACCTGAGGCGGGCAAACCAGGAGGGCCAGGGTGACCAAGGGCCCCCTGAGGGCCTGCAGGACCCATGGGTCCAGTTGCACCAATGTCACCTTTTGCACCCTGCATCAGAAATCAATAATAATGGTCATTTATTTCCAGTGCTTTTGCACTGTTATCATGTTGCTATTATGTGTTTGGGGATGGATCACCTGCTTTCCTCTTTTTCCTGGGCGGCCGGTGGGTCCCCTGTTCCCTGAGCTTCCAGGTTCTCCTTTTGGGCCCATTTCACCCTGAGAAATGATTTTAAAATCACATATACATTTACGTTTGTTTTATTATGTTAACTAATAATAGACCAATTCTTTTTATATATAACGTCAAAAAATATAAAATATTTATAATAATATTTATAATAGTTTCAGGACCTTCTGGCCAAGCATTCCAGGAAGACCCATTGATCCCTGAAGCAGTAAAAAAAAAAAGAATGATGGATTAGACCAGTTACAATTAGCAATATAAAACTAACTGTACTATGGTAACTTACTTTGTCACCTTTTAAGCCAATTTCACCTCTTAAACCTTGTGAGCCCTATGAGGACAACATCAAAACAGCAGAAGAATACTGAATAATGAACAACTGGGGTAAAAAATTAAAGCATGAACTGAAGGACGAATAAAAGTGGGTTCAGGGAGTAAAATAAAAGTGGGTTCAACTCACTTTTTCTCCCTTATGTCCAGGTAAGCCCTGCAATAAATGAACAATATTCAGTACACAAGAGTACATTATTCTATCTCCATATGACAAGATATTATGACTACAGCAGTCCTAATTCAGGAAATGAAGACTGTCCAGACCTTGGGTCCAATTGGTCCTCTTGCCCCTGGCATGCCCATCAGCCCAGGGTCGCCTTTCTCCCCCTGTTAAACACACAGGGATCACCTCACTGGACTCTAAAGCACATTGCCATGCTGTCACATCATTGTGTCCTACTGTTGAGGTCCATTACAATTCATGCTTGAGAAACACAACTTTGCCCTCATTTGCATTTAAAGTTCACACCTGATTGGTTTAAAGAGTATACCATACACTACAGTACAAACGTTTGGTGTTCGTAAGTTTTTTTTAAATATATATTTCAAATATTATTTTATTTTAAAAGTTTTTTTTTTCTATTTCAAATAAATGCTGTCCCTTTAAATTTTCTATTCATAAAAGAATTAGAAAATATTAAATAAAATTAATAACTAAAAATAATAAACTGAAATAAACTAATAAAATAGTAAAAATACTTGAAATAAAGTAAACAAAATTATATATATATATATATATATACACAGTATATAATTATTTCAACTATTTGCAAAAGAAACACTCATTTTAATTTAGTTTAAACTGATGTACTAAAATAACTAAAACTACTAATTGAAAAAAAAATGTATAAAAACCATGTAGACATATAAAAAAAATGCCCAAAACACAACAAAATTACTAACATTTAAACAAAAATTAAAATGAAAACGGAATATATATATATATATATACTGCCGTTTAAAAGTTTGGGATCAGTACGATTTCTTAATGTTTTTTAAAGAAGTCTCTTCTGCTCATCAAGGCTGCATTTATTTGATCAGGAATACAGAAAAACGTCTAGGTTACTTGTGTAACCCTCGTTCCCTGAAGGAGGGAACGGAGACGTTACGTCAGTCGTGAATGACGAATTGGGATCTCGCCCGAGAGCCCAATCACCTTCGGGTGTTAATTAAACAAGCCAATGACAGTTGGCGTGCGTGTTTCGCCACGCGCACCCCACCCGCAGCGCGGGTATAAAAGGAGAGCGCGTGCAAACGCACATCAGTTTTTTGCTGAGGAGCCGAGACTACGTGCCCCGGCCGTACAGCGGTGGTACAGCAACTGTGGCGATGGAACGTAACGTCTCCGTTCCCTCCTTCAGGGAACGAGGTGTAGCGTCTGGACCAATCCAACACACTATATATTCTCTTTTTATATAACAAATACTCTGTAACCTCAGTTAACAA